TTATATATAAACAAAATGCAGCGTAAGTGGGAAATGATGGTTTTCCTATCATCAGAATTTACCCTGGATTTTCAACTCTGGCTTCTATCCTGCCTTGGATGCAGAGCATTCTATGTCCAGCATATCTACATCTGGGTTTCTCAGGAGTCATGTTAGCTACTGAATAACTGTCACAGTAATGGATGCTTGTGTTTAAGTGACCCTTTTTAGTCACCTCAAAGGGAAGATGATGCCAAGGAGACACCATCAAGCACTTCCTCCCGGTGAAAGGTGAAAGTTACCCTCATACATATGGAGTGTGCAATAGGTTAGGATTAATGTACTTTCAAATAAAAGCTCAAAATTTTAGTTAACATTAGTTTTTGAGAACATAGCCACTAGTAAGCCATTTTGAAGAACTTTAAAGTAATTCATGTAACCTTGTTTTAAGGCCTTTAGATACCTTTCCTTATTTCCTTTTGTGTTAGGTTTTCTTATTTTCCTTTTTTGCTATCCCTAGGAGTCCTATAGCGTGGAAACACACACACACACACACACATACACACACACAGTATTACAGAGCTTGGTTGGTAGACAGCTCTTTCACTTTTTATTCATAGACTTTTCTTTCAAGGACCTGATCAGAGGCTGAGATTCATCATCATATATCAATTGGAACCCCTACTTGTAATGACAATAATAACAATATATCTTCTTTTGATGTAATGCTTTATGGGACTCCTTCACCCATCACGCATGGTGTTAAGGCTGAGTGCCCACACTGAAGAGAAGATGACTCTCTCTTTGTGTTGTAATTCATAAGAAGAAATCTGTAGTTCAGTAATTCAAACATAGTGAGATATAAACAATACTAAAGTCATTCCAGAAGAGATAAGAATGAATCCTTTTATTTATATAACAGCACATTTCCTGGTGTTCATCAAATAAGAGGACTTCTAGCCTTCTGTAGAATTTTGTTTCCTGGGTCTTTCTTGAAGTCTTTGAGGGCTCTCTTCTGTGCTTCCTGTGCACTATTTGCAGTGAAAACAGCTTCTGCCCCCACCAGGCCCTGCCATCATTGCCAAATGGTGTTTTCTGTTGATCATTACAACCAGTGTGATCTTTCACAGCCATGACATTGCCCATTTTATATATTATTGGTATTATGCTCTATTAGAAGGGGCTCCAAAATAATACTGATTTTTATCAATGCTTATTTATTTATTTATTTATTTTTGTTTTTCGAGACAGAATTTCCCTGTAGCTTTAGAGCATTTCTTCGAACTAGCTCTTGTAGACCAGGATGGCAGCTTGTTATAGATTAACAGTGTGTAAACAAGCAAGATATTCTTTTACTGGCAGGCTGCCTTTTGTAGTTATGAAGAAAGAACCAATCACTTTATTAATTATCTTGAAAGGCAATCTTATAAGGAATCTTAAAAGAATTACAAATGTAAACTTTTACACATGAAAAATAATCAGTTCTACTTTAAATCCTTAGAGTGCATACTCACTCATCAATAGTTTCTCATATTGAAATTAGGTTTACAGTACCAGACATGAGGACAGAAATGGGTATAAGGAATTAATCATCACTGTTGGTCATCAACCAATCCTAGAAAAAAATGCACATCAGCCAATGATAGTCGGGTTGCTTTGTTCTTATTCCCTTTCCTTAATGAGTTTCTCATCCAACTATGTGCTTTTCTAAAACTTTGTCTTCTCGGGTTTTTCACCTCAGCTATTTGACAAAAACATTGTAGTTATTTTCAAAGCCTTGTTTCAGCTGTGATGCACTCTGAAACTTGTGAACACATCTCTCAACATTAAGGTTAAAAGAATTTAAGCTAGCTGGGCTACTAAGACTCAATTGTTTTTCTTAATCATTGCCCTAAGTCACAGTCTATGTGGCTCCTCAATAGAAACTCATGTGTTCTGTGTGACACTCCCTTGTTTTTTTTTTTTTTTTTATCAACAAAACTATTTAAACTAGCATTATTATTATCAATTAGACAGCACAGTTTAGGAAGAAATCATCTTCATAATAATCAACAGGTAAAAGAATGCCCAGTAGAACAGGGTATTTCTATGAGATAAACACACAACGTTACAGGCAGTGGAGAATCTCTCCTTACCCATTCACACCGTGCCAGATACCAGAGAAATACAGCAGTGACAAACATATAAAGGCACAGCAGAACAAAAGACATTCTGCAGTCTGTGGTTCACCCATCAGAAATTTTCCTCCTGGTGGGCTGATACAACTTCAATTGACCTACTGTTCCTCTGATATGGCCACCAGCATGTCACTGAAAGCCTACCCCAGCATAGGTGACAGCTCATGAAACCTGGAGTGCTCTGCCAGCCTGAAGGCAGTTTAACAGGGTTGGAGAGTGTCTCAGGCAGCTCAGGTTATGTAAATTCTTTCAGGCAGTTCTGCTGGTCACAGTTTCTTCTAGATGGTTTGTTTCATCTCTGCCTATTCCAGGCAGCACAGCTTGTCTGAGTGTTTCTCAGCAATCCTGACTGCTCATATTCACTTGGAAAAGGAGGGACCCAGTGAGTCTGTTCAGTTTCAGTGACTTCCCAAAGCTATTGAGTTGTTTACTTCTTGAGCTTAATGAGCTTCCCTGCAGAACAGAATGTTAGAACATCCTGTTGTTTTCTTGCCTTTTCAGAAACATCCTGTGTCTTTACAAGCTTCCCCCTAAGAACCCCTGCCGTTTTATCTCTCCTTTAACACCCTGTGCCTTGACAAATTTTTCTCTCTCTAAGATGCAAAGTTTTAATCTCAGAGGAAACTGCCACACAACAGCTGGTGACTCCATTTTTCCACATTCAGCTCTTGTGTCCAGATGCAGTGGCTTCTTTTTGGATTCTGTCACAGCATTCCAAAGCCTTTGAATGTTGCTTCTCTCACCAGAAATCACTGACTATTCGTCACCAAAAATCCAACCATCATCACCAGCTTCTGCCTTTCAGAAATGTTAACAGAGGTCAGCTGCAGCTTTTCTCACATGCTGTGGGGCCTGGTGCATGTTCTGGAAACCCATTAAAGTGTGTGTGTGTGTGTCTTTTATACAACTCTTGAAGTCTAGGTGAGGATAGTCAATAGATAGGAGTTTGAACTGAAATTGTGCTTTGTGGTACTAGCATTTCTATTTGTTGCACTGATAATGTTTGTAATGATAAATGATAGTTTATTACAATGTGTTTAATAGTAAATCACCTAGAAAACTTGATACACTGTTTTATGTAGTTAAACTATGTTACAGGGATTTATTCAATATATAGTAATGGTTTTAGTAATTCAGTCTTATTTTAAACTATTTTATGGTCTGGAGAGATGGCTCAGGTCTTTGAGAAAACCAGGTTCAATTCCCAGTACTCATGTGGCAACTCACAGTCATCTATAAGTCTACTTTCAGCCCCAAGAGATTCATTGCCTTTTGTGGTTCCTCAGGAACTGCATGCATATGGTACACAGCCATGGATGCAGGCATAACAACAGATATATAAAACAAGACCCCCATAGTTAATAAAGACAGCTTTTCAGAGAAATCAACAAAAGTAATATAGAATTTATTGCCTACCTTCAGTTAAAACAATATTGTTAAAAAAATTTAAGTAGCTTGTTTCTTATAGGATTTATTTATTGCTAATTTATTTATTGAGTGTTTTGCCTGCTTGTATATATGTGCTTCACATTATTGAAGTCCCCACAGAGGCCATAAGAGAACTTTAGATTGCAGATGGTTGTGAGCTGCCATGCTGGTATGAGGGACTGAACCTAGGTCCCAGAGCAGTACTGCCCTTAATCACTGAGCCATCTCTCCTGACCTCTTAAATGATTTTACTAAGAAGACTATAGCACAACAAGAGAATAGAGCCTATGGAAGGGAATTCACTATTTTTACTGCATTATATTTTCTTGTTTTAGTTACTGAGAAAACCAGTGCTTTAACTTTTTGTAGTTCATGCTTAAGTTTGATATCTATTCTTATCAATGTTAAAAAATGTTGGTTGATTTTTTTTCCTGACATAATGTAATGTAATGGTGTGTCCTTTCCCTTTAAGAGACAAGGCTCCTCTCCCGTCCACCAAGGCAGGCTGATTTTTCAGCTTCCAGACTGAGTCCCCTCTCACTCTTGAAAAGGCAGCTTCTGTCTCTCCCCCTTCTCCATACTTCTCCTCTCTCTCTCTCTCTCTCTCTCTCTCTCTCTCTCTCTCTCTCTCTCTCTCTCTCTGTGTGTGTGTGTCTGCCTCTCTTTCTGCTCTTCCCCCTTCTCCTTTTTCCTTCCATAACCCACTAAATAAATATCCAACTTCACTCTGCACGGTGTGCCTATCCATCTGGGTCTCTCACCTGCCACATGGCTTCCTGCCTGGGACCCAGCTGCCTTCATGGCCTGCTGTGGTCTTGGGACCTGCTGCCTGTTGCTTGCCACCACTTGGGAACCTGCAGCATTTTACTTAAACCATTACAAACAATTTCTTTGGTATTAAACAAATGATCCTATCCTCATATATTAGCAGTATCATGAACTAGGATAGTATTTAATTTGTTATTACGTACTTATTATTCTTATAAAACTACATGAATATATTTTTAAATATTGTGTAATTAATTGCCTGAGGTCTCTTGGTTTTATTGTATTTTCTCAATCTGTTTAATTAACATATTATAAATATATATATTTTCCTTTTTCTAAATACTACATTCAACCTCTTTTCAGAGGTGGAACTGCTCTTCATTGTTCTGGAGGCATTAAATTGCCAATGTAGTACTAAGAGCAAAGTGCTCACCCTGGCTCAGTGTAGAGTAATATTAGAGGCAATTTTTGGAGAATCCTGGTTGACATATGAGACAGATGGGCAGTATTCAGCTTAAAGAGCCCTGGTTTTACTGGTGAAACTTCTTTGACTAAGGATATTCTTGCTATGTAATTAGACCTCAGTCAAATTTAACAATATTTTTCAATTTGCCTCATGCTCTTTTTCTTATTCTTTCTCAATTTTAGGATTATCCTAAATCGACTTTGAAATACAAAGGTGTGCATTTTGGCAATGCTACAGGAAGACAAGAATTGCTCAAACATTCAGGTCCTGGTCCTGGACAGTATGATATCATCCAGTAAGTAAAAATAAATAGCAGTTGGGCATGGTGCTACACACCTGTGATTCCTGCATGTGGGAGGCAGAGATAGGAGGATTGCTGCAAGTTCAATCCCAGAGTGGGTTACATAATGATTCTCAGGTCCTCCAGGATTACTTAGTAAAACCTTGGAGAGAGAGTAAAAGTGGAACAGACTTCTTAAACATCATTAATATAGTTGCTGACTGTAAAGTATTGTATTAGTTCAGATGAGGTTATCCTATTAAGAAAAAGGAAAATTAGCACAAAAAACTCTAAAGAGTATTATATTTTGGAATGATTTTTTTTTTGATTTTTGAGACAGGGTTTCTCTGTAGCTTTGGTTCCTGTCCTGGAACTAGCTCTTGTAGACCAGGCTGGCCTCGAACTCACAGAGATCCGCCTGCCTCTGCCTCCCCGAGTGCTGGGATTAAAGGCGTGCGCCACCACCGGCTTGGAATGATTCTTAAGAAAGCTATTGCCTTCTTATGAGCCAGATTTTATCAGTTGTTTTTTATACATTACGTCATTTAGTATTCACAAATCTCTTTGTTGTTACTATTATTTACATATTTTATTAGTAAAATCCAAGCATCAGAAAAGATTAAGTAACATGTTCAAGCTTATATGACTGTTTAAGTGCCAGAGCTAGACTTTAACTGAGACCTGTTTGAGCACACATCCCATGTACCCAATCAGTAAGATGTACTGTGCTATGTAAAATAGACAAAAGCTCCTCAATACCGTAAAGAAGGTGGGTCAGAATTCTGTATCCTTTGGCTTGTCTCCGTTCTCTGACCAGAACACTGGGAAGATCTTCTGAGCTAGTGAGACTCATGACCATGGCATTCTGTGATATAAGATTGAATGGCTGTGGTTGGTTTGGAAAGGAGCTGACACATAATTACCAGCAGGGGTTAGCTTTATTAGGAGAAAGGGTCCTGGACCATTATAATATCTTGAGATGAGAAATCATTTGGAAGGAAATTATGCTAAAACCGTTGTTAACAGGGCCTTCAAGACAAAGAGATGCTTCCCTTCAAAACCTGGAAGAGCATCATTAAAAGGAGTAGCTTAAAGTAGGAGTAAAAGAGAAAGCTGTCGTGGATAGGTAAGCATAGGGTAGCCAGAGAAGCCTTCTGAGAAACCCCTAGAACAAAGAAAATACCTGACTTTTAAATCCTTTTAGGGGTGCTGGGAAGTTTCACATCCTTTAATTAAGGCTGTGGTTAAGTCATAGCACAACAAGGCTGCTTAGCTGTGACTCAGGGGAAGCTGGGCTACTTCTGCTCCATATGGTTAGCTTTAGCTGTTTTTTTTTTTTTTAATTGTGTGTGTGTGTGTGTGTGTGTGTGTGTGTGTGTGTGTGAACCTCCTCTCTCCCCCATGTATATCAGAGAAGAACTTTCCAGTGTCTGTTCTCTCCTTCCGCTGTTAGTTCTTGTGACAAGTACTTTTACCCAATACTGAGTAGTGGTTTGCTCTTCTTTGTTTATTGGATACCAGCTTCTCTGCTGGCTCATTCCTCACAGCATGAGTTTTCTCCTGGGAATTTTCCCAGTGATTATTTTCTCTGTATCCAGACCCAGATACATCTGCATGCTAGCAGTGGGCATAGTTGGAAGCTTTGACTCTTGGCTATAGCTCATTTACTGAACAAATATTGAATCCTTGCTATCTTCCAGTATTGGACTTAATCATATAATAAGAATAGAGCTTGGCACTTCCTTTGAGGGATTTATACCCAGGTCATTATTCTTATTCTTTTACTCTCCTAATCTGAAAGGTATACCTTTGTATTTTATTCTTTTAGTAATTATGCTAGAAACATAACATGCACACTTACTTATGTAGTCTATGGTGGTTTAAAAGAAAATGGCAGCCAAAGGGAATGCCACTGCTACTTGTCGTATGTAGAATATTAGGAATTTTTGGTTTTGGTTACCTTTGATTATGTCAGTTCTTGCTATAATTCTCATATCCCCTTTTCCATTTGGAATAATTATTTGAACAATTTTATAACAGTGCTCTGAATTTTGATTCCTTCCTTTTCATGTGTGTTTGTATGTGCCTGTGCACTCGTCCCCATGCCGAGGTCAGAGGACAACAGCATGTGAGTCCCAGGGATTAAACTCAGCTTATCAGGCTTGAAAGCAAGTGCCTTTGTCCACTGAACCATCCTTGCAGCCCCAGTACTCCATGCTCCAGATTTTAAAAGATAAAAGCAACCATATGAAAATGCATTTTCATTAGAATGTGAGTGTATTGGCCCAACCTATTGATTTTATCAATGTCATCTAAAGCAGAAGCTGTTGCTGTAAAAAACTATCTTTGCTCATATAAATATTTTTTTTGTATTTAAAATTGAAAACTCTTAAATTCTTTCTGAATTTTCCAAAGGAAAAGGAAAGTGCATTATGAAAATATTAACATCAAGAAAGAGCAACAGGAAAATGAATGTATATTTGCCCCACGGCTTTATGAACAAATAATGTTGCAGGAGGAAAAAAAGGTGAGTTAAAAGGGATATATATCTGTTTTCCATATTTCTCATGTCACTGAGTCGTTGTCACCAGATTAAAGTTCTTTCAGGTATTCTGTGCCTAAAATGTAGCACTCAATGAGTGCCATAGAATTTGCTGCGGTACATGCCATGTGGTCTCTGTCTCTGCTTGGATAGTTTCTCATCAGGAACTCACTGTACCTGTTTTCTATTTCAATGGTAGACAATACTTTTTCTTCACAAATCTTCACACTGAACTAAACCTCCCTAACCTGTGTAACAGAGGGCCTGCTAGTTGAGGTTTCTGTCCTGCCCAGTTCCCACACCTGGTAAGCTCCAAAGAAAATTACACAGAGAGTCTACATTAGGTTGTAAACTGATTGGCTTATTAACTCAGGCTTCGTTTTAGCTCTTATAACATCTATTAACCCATTTTCCTTATCTATGTTAGCCATGGCTTGGTACCTTTCTCAGCGAGGTAGGTCACATCTTGTTTCTTCCTTGGTCTGAGCAGAACTGCAGGACTGAGCTTCCTTCTTCCCAGAATACTCCTGTTCTCATTGCCCCACCTCTACTTCCTGTCTAGATACTGGCCAGTCAGCATTTATTTAAAATATAATTGACAGAATATAGAACTATCCCACACCAAACCCGTGATGTCTTTTCCATCCTACTTTCTTTAGGAAGTTTAAGTGATTATGCAGTGTTGGGTTTTCTTAAAACCTTTTGGTGGCTTATGGATGTAACACAATTAATAAAAACCCAGAGACAGAAATTGGGGTTCAACCTGAAGGTCAGAAAAGCAAAACAGCCAGCCACTGGCTCTTACCTCAGTCTGAAATGGTGATCCTGCCTCCAGGAATCTTAGAATGAGACTGTGTCTGAGAGCTGTCTCCTCCCATCTTATATTTCTCCCTAGTGCTGGGATTAAGGTATGCATGAATATTGCCCGGTTTCTATGGCAAACTAGTATGGCTACTGGGATTAAGGGTATGTGTCACCACTGGCCGGACTGTAAAACTGATCAGTGCTGCTGTTTTACTCTCTGACCTTCAGGAAAGCTTATTTATTAAAATATAAATCTAATATCATTACATATGGAGGCTCCTTAGTTTTTGAATCTTGTTCTTATTCCTTTCTTGGTTTTTCGAGACAGGGTTTCTCTATAGCTCTGTCCTGGAACTAGCTCTTGTAGACTACGCTGGGCTTGGACTCACAGAGATCCACCCACTTCTGCCTCCCAGTGCAGGGATTAAAGGTGTATTCCACCAACTCCCTACCTTTTTTTTTTTTTTTAAAAAAATATGGTATTTAAAACTATGCGTAATATTCTGGGTGGGGTTTTAATTGTACAAAGCAAGATTGTCATCTCTTTTGTTCTGAATTGTGATATATTCACATAATGATGGGGAATCTCCTTCAGCCAATGGCTTTTGAGAGGCTGGACCAGGTTGGGTGTGGCCTTTGGTACCAAAGAGGTGCGTGCACACTCTCTGTTGCCTGAATGCTAGATTTGATTCCTGTTCTTTGTTCATGCAGAGGACTGTGATCTGTGAGTTTCCCTTAAATAAAGAACTTATTATAATTAATCCTGAGTTAGTGTGAGTTTAATTAATTTATTTCTAAACCCATTTAGATGTCCATCCCATTTTTAGATGTATATTTGAGTTTTTTTATTTGAAAATTATAGTGGACCAGGGCATCTACTGAATGATCAACTCTTCTGTATATGACAGGGAAGCTGTGGTTGCTAATCAAGACCTGAGAAGTGACACCGCCATTGACATGCCAGTGTAGATGGGGAAATATCAGAGAGCCCCCCCTAGATGAAGAGCTACAGGCAGTAAATGACTGGAGAGAGGGAGAATCAGTTTGTTCCAGGAATGAGCCCCTTGATAGGTGATCTGTCCCAAGAAGTCATCCCTAACATATATAAATATTAGCAACACTAAATGAACCCAGCAGGTTGTATTTATAACTGTGTATGTATGTATGTGTATATGTATATGTATATACGTAACAAAATAAAGAATAAGAGGCCATGAATGAGAAAGAGTGTGGGGGATACTAGAGTTGGAGTGATATAAAACAGTACAGTACATATATGAAATTTTCAACAAATGAAAAATAGTTTTAAAAATCTGAGTAAAAATTTCACTAGGTGGTGCCAAAGCTTTGGCTCTTTACTGGCATAGCATTCATCTCTACTTTTCATTAAAACAAATGTTTAAAAATTACTTGGGAAGATGTGGTAATTTGTCATGTATTCATCTGAGCAAATACTAGTTGTTAATTTTAGTTCCTTTATAAAATTTGCCCAGCAAAAAGAGCTTGTAGCTATGTATTTTGTAATTTCCTTTAAATTACAGTTGCAATCTGTATTTATACTTACTTATCTATATAAAGTAAACAATTTTTCAAACCTTTCGAAGGCTAACAGAATATGGCATTTGAAATGTTTTAAGAACCTAGGACTTTTCATGACAGTGACACACATCTGTTCCTGGCAGCACCAATCTGCTTCAAGAGGAAGATGGGCATTGAAGAGGCTTCTTATGCACTTTGTTAGCCATTTGGACAAGAAACTGCTCTTGCCTGGACTGCTTGCTGCTATGCTGTATGAACTGGACATGCAGGACCCACAGAAAAATGACTGCTGAACTTGCCTAAAGAAGGTGAGACAGGGCCCCAGAGTCATGCTGTAAGAAGCAACACCACCTTCTCGTCTTCACCATCCTCTGGGAAGCTGCGAAGCAGCAGCTATGCGTGAGTGCATCTCCATCCACATTGGCCTCGCCACGGTAAATACATGGCTTGCTGCCTGCTGTACTGTGGTGATATGGTGTCCAGATCAGCAATGCCTGCTGGGAACTCTACTGCCTGGAACATGGCATCCAAGTAACAAGACCATTGCGGGAGGAGATGCCTCCTTCAACACCTTCTTCAGTGAGACAGGCGCTGGCAAGCATGTGTCCCGGACAGTTTTCGTAGTCCTGGAACCCATAGTTTTTGATGAAGTTCTCACTGGTACCTACCACCAGCTCTTTCACCCTGAGCAGCTCATCACAGGCAATGAAGATGCTGCAATAACAGTGCCTGTGGCCACTACACCATTGACAAGGAGATCATTGACCTTATCTTGGACAGAGTTCGCAAACTGGCTGACCAATGCACAGAGCTTCAGAGCTTCTTGGGTTTCCACAGCTTTGGTGGGTGAACTGGCTCTGGGTTCACTTCCCTGCTGATAGAGCGGCTCTCTGTTGATTATGGAAAGAAGTCCAAGCTGGAGTTCTCCATCTACCCAGGCCCCAGGTTTCCACTGCTGTGGTTGAGCCTTACAATTCCATCCTTACTAACCACACCACCCTGGAACACTCTGATTGTGCCTTCATGGTAGACAATGAGGCCATCTATGACATCTGTCGTAGAAACCTTGATATTGAGCGCCCACTTACACTAACCTAAATAAGTTGATAGGTCAAATTGTGTCTTCCATCACTGCTTCCCTCAGATTTGATGGAGGCCTAAATGTTGACCTGACAGAATCCCAGACCAACTTGGTGCCCTACCCTCGCATCCACTTCCGTCTGGCCACATATGCCCCTGTCATCTCTGCTGAGAAAGCCTACCATGAGCCCTAAAGGCTCAAGGCACATTGCAGCAAGTGGAGTGGAAAGATTCTAAAGGCCATAGGAATGAGATGATTGCTGTGAAATGGTGTCCTGTAGACATGACAGGAAAGTTGTGCCCATGAAATATGAACTGTATGGTTTCCCACACAATACCTGCATAATGACCACATCAGCTTACATACCAGCGTGGATGGAAAATTTCACTAGGTCCCACCCCAAGATGAAGAGCTACATGTGGTCAGTTACTGTAGAGGGAGAAAGAATCCATTTTTTCTAGGGATAAGTCCCCTGAGAGGTTTCCCAATTCTAAGTGGTCAGCCATAAACACATGTACCTTTGGGCAACCCTGATGGGAGTCAGTCAATTTTGTATGTGCTTACGTAGATATGCAACAAATTTTACAAAGTAAAATGATCATCTTTTTTTTTTAAAATATTTATTTATTATGTATACAGCATTCCTTCCATGTATGTCTACAGGCCAGAAGAGGGCACCAGACCCCATTACAGATGGTTGTGAGCCACCATATGGTTGCTGGGAATTGAACTCAGGACCTTTGGAAGAACAGTCAGTGCTCTTAACCTCTGAGCCATCTCTCCAGGCCTAAAATGATCATCTTTGTATTTCTTAGACACTGACCTGTATCTCATTAGTTGTTCTCAATAAGTAAACCTTGTTTCTGAATAGAATGAAACAATTTTAAAGAAGCTAGAAATATTCAATAATATTTTAAAAGCAGCATTTGGAAAGATTTGTGTTGACAATAAAATTATATGTAACTATTCATAAATAGTTTTATGATGGACAAATATTTCATGTTGTGTATTACAAATATATGTTGCTCTATCATAATGTGGAGTTGGTGACTCATGAGTCAATCAATCAGTGGAGAAATGTAGGAGGGAGTAAGTCCTCAAAAGTGCTATCAAGTCTGTCGGAGAGGAGTGAGTATAGTCTGTAGTAGTAGAAATTTTCAGGCCTGACAGACAAGTCCTAGCACTAGGTGTGTAAGGGAAATGAGAGCAGTGTCTTGGAAAGATGAATGAATACCGCAAGAGTCATCTTTGCTTTTCCAACTGAACCTTCCAGGTGATCCATCAGTCAGGAGAGGTAAGCAGTGGCCGCTAGGTGGGTCATTAACACTCTGCAGCCTGTGTGCCCAGGGTGACCCACATCTGTCTTCATTAGAAGTTTGCTCCCTGCCAGAAGTGAACAGATGGGTCATTATTGCCAACGCTGCCCTCTGGGCCAGCCTGGAGGACATGCAAAGTCATCTCTTCCACACAAGCCACATTTACCTGTTTTGATGTGGTGAAAACACTTTAAGAGAAACCTTGTCAAAAAAAAAAAAAAAAGGAAATAATGAGAATTAAGATA